AGGGACTACCACGACAGAACAAAGAAAGAAAAATGCTGGCGAACGATAGCGGAAGCGCTTCAGCAATGTTTACACTCTTGTTTTCGGAAGTCAGTCGCTAAGACGGAACGCGATGAATGGTCGGGAAGCAACGTGTAGTCTTGACATGTTTCTTGTCCACGACATGACAAGATTTTAGGAGTCAAAATAGTGTAATCTGACACAGTGACTATCGTGACCGACAAAAATATAGTGTAGTCTGAACCTGGCCTTAGGCTTACGATGCTTTTGGGAAACGCAGCCCAGGTTAGTTTTCCAGCATAAGTTGCCACAGTGAATGAGCTTGATTTGTGTTCAATTTGCTTTATGGAACCAAATCATTTGACAATGAGTCCAATTAACTGAAATAACCCTGGTTTACTAGTTTTGTGAAACAGGCCTCTGTTCGTCAACTTCAATCTCTCTTAAAGGGTTAGTTCACCCAAAAATGAAAATTCTGTCATTAATTATTCACCCTCACGTTGTTTCAAACCCGTAAGACTTTCGTTCATCTTCGGAACACAAATTAAGATATTTTTGATGGAAATTGAGAGCTGTCTGACCCTCCTATAGACAGCAATGCCACTGAAATGTTCCCAAGTCCAGAGACGTAGCAAGGACTGTGTTTCCCCTGCCATTATTTTAGGGGGGAACGGCACCCCCCGCCCCCTTGAAGGTCAAGTTCATTTTATTTAATTATATTTTCTCTAGTGATTAAAATAGGTTAAAAGTTTATTTAACCATTAAATAACGACTTTATTCAACAATTCGTCTCCTCCGCATCACCCTGTAAACAGCATATGCTGATCTGTGTCAGCTGCGTCACGCCGGATCTGTTTCCTACGTTGTTGTGATTTGATCTGAACGGAAACAGCGTATCCGTGTGACGCAGCTGACACAGAACACAGAAGTCTTTCGGATGAGACATTAAACCGAGGTCCTGACTCTCTGTGGTCATTAAAAATCCCATGGCACTTCTCGTAAAGAGGATGGGTGTAACCCCAGTGTCCTGGCCAAATTCCCTCCACTGGCCTTTGTCAATCATGGCCTCCTAATAATCCCCAACCACTTGATTGGCTCTATGACTCTCTCTCCTCTCCACCTGTAGCTGGTGTGTGGTGAGCGCACTGGCGCCGTTGTACTATGGCTGCTGTCGTATCATCCAGGTGGATGCAGCACACTAGTGGTGGATGAGGAGAGACCCCCATATGATTGTAAAGCGCTTTGGGTGTACAGCAATACACAATAAAACGCTATATAAATGCCTTATTCATTCATTCTGGAGGTGAAGCTGGATCACGAATGATTTGCACGAACATAGACGCATTTATGGGGGGGCACATTCCCTTCGAAAAAAACCATAATCCGCTGCATCTTCAGCGGCTCAGATGTCAGGAGTGGCGACTGCTGTATTCATTATTACATCCAACAACAAACACCTCAATCAACTTCAACCACTTAGGAGCCACTCTTGTCTACGTTCCTGCTCCGGCGTTGAAACCATCACGGTCGGACTGTTCACAGGGACTAAGGTAAAACGGCCGTGTCAATCAAATATCGTGGGAGTGGCCTGTGCAGAACTACGTAAATCTGGCAAGAATCTGAGAATGGCCTGATCTGATCTGAGAAAGGGTTCATTATTTATAGGGATTTAAAAAAAAAAAAAAAAAACACTGGGTGGATTTTTGTCATTAAGGGGGGGATGTGTACCCACACTGCCAACACACATCTATGTTCAAACACCATGTAAAAGTGAATTTTGTATTCCATGACCCCTTTAAATGAAGAACAAACATAGACAACATGCAGTAACTCAACAGGTGAAATGTTTTAATTAATTAGTTAGCAGGTTGTGCTATTTACATGCTGATTTGTCCGCAGTGAAGTTCAGTCGATATCTTTTTTTATTTGGACTAGTTAAATTAATTTTGGGCTACCAAAATCTGAAGAACACCCGCCCCGAAGGGCTCCCAGGTGAAAAAAGTGCACTTCCGTAATGTACTTAAAGTGCTCCATTTTCACACTAATTTTGTACTTAATATACTAAAAATTATTCTTTAGTACAAAGGGCTGTGCGATATTGAAGAAAAATGGGCCACATGCTCAGATGAAACCCAGCTGTTACTGAGTCGGTTCTCTGAACTTCCATAACTATCTAGTGTCATAGTCA